AAATCAGGCGATAGGCGTGTTTCTGGAGATGCTAAAGATGATACTGACTCAGTGGTTGGTGATGGTGTCGACGGGTTAGATTGAGCTTTGACATAGTCACATGTTTGTTGGTCTTCGTCGTCGCCTTTTAGCATGTCGCAAACACCCCATTTGATCCACTTCTTCTGGACGCAAACACCAGACACAGGAGGGTTGAGCCCGAAGAAAAGTCTCTCGCTGTTGAAACCAGAACACCAACCGCACTCTTGCCCGAGATGATCAGTTTCATTGACACATTTCGCTTCATCATAAGAATGCTGTTGGCAATCACTTTGAGTTTTTGTAGTTGGAATCTCTTCGAGTGTTACATTTAAATTGATGAGAAAATTTTTCATGAGATTCATTCCTTGTTTCACTATAAACAAAGAAGATCAAGCTTCCACAATAACTATCCGTCTGAACGCGAGACAACTAACCAGCTGGGTACGGAGGGTCCCCGCTCAATTTATGAGGAAGGCAAGATCCCGGCGCATACGGTGACGGATTGGGAAAAGGAATCCAACGGCATCTTTTGCCATCATCTGTTACAACCTTGACGCATGCTTCTTCAGTCGCAAGAGTTTCACACTTCCACAGATTGTCCGTATGCATTCCTTCAAGTTTTCCAGCGAGACCTGATGCAAAAATGCATTAAAACCGTTGCTTCTGAGCGTCGCATACTGCAAGCCTCCAATTGCGCGAGATTCGTTGGTGCATATTTGCATTTGCCTCCTGAAGACACCCAACACCATGAACAACCTCAACTTCGTGATTTACCCCAAATGCATCCCAGAGCTTCAAATGTATTCGGTGCACATGAAACGGGACCTGCAAGTAATAGAGCAATGAGGGTATAAGACATATTTCGCAATGAGGGGAGACAGTCCTTCATCATCAGAAGAAGGACCACACAAGTTGGTTCCAACAAATGGATGCCATGCTGGAAACCATTTTACCAAACACCGATTTGGTTAACCGCCCGCATTACCTCATTTATGGAAATTGTATGGGCATCATGAGGGCACCGTTGTCCTCAACCTTCATGTGAAACTTTCACAGTTTCATGGCTCGTAGAACTGGACCTGGTTCCAGGTTTAGCCATGGACGTCTATGGAACATTACTTCTCCACCCTTCTAGAAGAAAAGTTTCTGGATACTTTAGAGTCAGTCAACACAATGGCGAAGAAATAGAGAGGAAATGGAGTATCGTCAACCGAAGTAGTGATGGCTATTGGATCAAGGGTGATGAGGGGAACACGAGTGATGGACAGACGACTGGTCGGAAGAGTGTTCACAATTAGGAATCAATGATTCTGAGATTTAGTTTGTTTCTTTTATTCTGTTTTCAGAGCGTTTTCATGACTGTTGGATTCAATTACCAGCTCAGATGAAGCCAACAGATAACCTCCACATAACATCCATCAATTCATGTAGCGTGGAAGTTCTTCGCGTGGCTTTCAGTTTAGAAGAGCCATTACGTTCGAATTTTCCAAGCTGTAGAAATTCTTTATCCGAAGAAGAGAGGTTTATCGAGGAATCACAAATCTTGACGCTCAATTGCAGGTGATCATCGTTGCATTCCGGGTTTAATCCAATTTTCCACTCTTAGGAATTGTAATTCAAAAATTTCGAAGCCCATCATGTGTCCAACGGCTTTTCAATTGCCCTCTATGTTTTTTGAAGATCTGCAAGAGGCAATGGTGAACAACAATCTCCTACATGATGTTCACAGCAGCTAATCGTTCAGGTTTGCAGTGAATGTAGTCCTCCAACAATATCAATGCCAACGTGTCAGCCGTCATGGTGAGCAGAAATATCAAATGTTTGATCTATAAATTTGTATTTTGTACGATGACGTCTTCGTTCAATTTGTAGGATTTTTTTGGCGGACGAGAGTGTTGTGATCCATGAAAATCATCTGAATCTAGATTCTCTCGAGACGAGTACGAATTGCTCTTCCGCTGTTTCCCTCTTGATGCTCCAAAAAAATGACTTCCTACGTTGTTCGGCGTGTGGCTGTGTCGTCGGATCAGTCAATGGGACTAATGGTTCCAATCCCGTTGTTCTAGATGCTGAGATCACTCATCGTCAGGATGGCGTTCAGCAATCAGAAAATCTCGTTGTATCGTTGTGGAAATTTCGCATCGCTTCTCATTCTGTTCCAAAGGAAGCGTCCTCCCCCTCAATTTGACATTTTTTCAAGATACACCCCCTGAAGGTTTGTTTGCCCGAGAATTGTTCAACCTGGTTCAACAATCCAAGAAATATCGTTTTGTTCTTCTTCCGTCGCCTCTTGGGAGAAACTTCGGAATGACTTGCAGTTCAACGAGCGAGAGGGATGAAGTTCTTTCTCCAACTGTTCTTCACGTTTTATCAACAGACGTCCCAGTTTGGTTTGTTCAACACCAATTAAACTCAGACTGCTCGGCCAAATTTTGTGATTCTTCGACACCGTCACTTCAGGTGAGTCGATAGCGCGCCCATTTCGCTATCATAATTATCTTCTAGATTATTGGTAGTTTTGCTCCATCATTGCATCTCTCACCAATTATCCCGTTTATTGAAAAAAGTTTCGTTTCAGGTTGTGTTCGCCGAGATCAATGTATCTGAAGACTGCACGCTTCATCCATCGTATGAACATCTCAAGCTTGGATTCGATCTGTTCAATACATTTCAAATATTTATGAAACACAATTGTTTCCCTTTTCCAGAATTTGCAAATATAGCGAACTCTCAAGACTGTTTAAAGAGTCACATCGTTGGAAATTGGAAGCTGGCGTTTTTGTCCGTGTCGTGATATCCGTAACTACTTCAAACACGTTTACACGTTCAATGTTCATTTAAGCATGTGGGGACGACACAATGACTCGCATGTAGTGGGCATGTTTTAATCTCGTAACGCGGCCACCATAAACCAATTAAGAACGGGCTCTGGCGTGGATAAAGAGTCTATTGGCAACTATATGAAATCAACAAAAGCTTCAATCACAGTGAATACAAAGCGTCGAACAAACCACCCGAGTTCGTCGGCGGGGGGCCAGAAGAGGGAGGAAGCGTGACCCGGTTAGCTGTTAGAACAAAGAATGAAATGAAAACGAGAAATGAAAACGAGAAATGAGGAATGTAAGTGAACCAAATCTAGCATCTTGGACTCACTTGTGCTTCGCAAGAATGCGACTCAACCAGTCGAGGCCTTCATAGAGCCCATCTCCAGTAGTAGCGCACGTGGACTGGATGAACCAGTTTCGATTTTTAATTACATGGAGATGCAGTTTATCAGTCACTTCGGCGGCAGTCATTGCGTTTGGTAAATCTTGTTTGTTTGCGAAAACAAGAAGAACCGCGTCGCGAAGTTCATCCTCTTGCAACATTCTGTGAAGTTCCTCGCGAGCTGAAAGAAAAAACGTTGTGGAATAAATTCTGATTCATATTTGGGACGTCAGTAATTAATATCTGATTCATATTTGGGACGTCAGTAATTAATATCAAACTGATTAGATGTTCAACTAATATAAATATAAAACAGATCATTTATTAATTACCTGCTTCAATACGATCTCGATCATTCGAATCGACAACAAAAATCAGTCCTTGAGTATTGGAGAAATAATGTCTCCAGAGAGGTCGAATTTTATCCTGGCCACCAATATCCCAAACAGTGAAGGAAATATTTTTGTACTCCACAGTTTCAACATTAAATCCTGAAATAAAAACCAGTGGCGGTCGCAAGTTTGTAGTGCAGCGATGCCATTCACGCGTGCAGTGACAACATATCGGAACTATGTCTTCTCCCTCATTGAATTCTTTTATTTTATTTATTTCTCCTCTCATTGCTTACCAATCGTTGGAATGGTTGTGACAACTTCGCCGAGTTTCAGTTTATAGAGAATTGTTGTTTTCCCAGCAGCATCAAGACCGACCATCAAAATACGCATCTCCTTCTTGCCAAAGAGTTTGGAGAACAGTCTTCCCATAGCCAAACCCATTTTGTTTGAAGATTGATTTCAAAAAAACTCTAGAAGTATTTGATAGCAAGTGATGACGAGAGGGCCTGTGAAAAATTGAACAGGTGAGCTGCTAATAAGAGGTAAGGCAAACAAGAAAAGAACGCACACCGTAAGCTATGACTAGTGCACACCAGGCTCACTGGCAATCCTGGTGAAAATTATTCTAGGGGCGAAGAACTTGGTGGTTTTCAAGTCAAGTCCAATAAACTTGACAGGCTGTGGAAGCGGTTGGCAGGGATGATCAATTCCTTCCTGTTTGGGGTGCCAGCGGACCTGATATTTGGGAATTGATCTCAGATTTGCTGAATTCTCACAACTTTGGGTTGCGTTGAGTTTCGCTCTACAATTTCACAAAGAAAGCACACAGTTCGTGTAAAATCTCTACGGAACGAAAACTACCAAAAAACTTCACAGTTCCCTCCTGAGTGCGCCTCACGTTATCTGTAGCTTCTTTGCTTTGTGATGCCGTGATTTAAAAAAGACGCGCGGATTTTTCGTCGTCTTTGATGCTCAAGTCACAGTTTTACCATCCCAATGCATCTCTGTTTGGCCTCATGTCCCATTTGGGACAGTAGGCAATGACAGAGAATCCATAGGATAAGGACAGCTAGCCTCTTCTTTCGAAGCCTACGAGCTAGATACGACCTGCTCCTGGTCGTTCTATTACATCGCCCTAGAGCATCATGGCAGGTGAGGATTGACGTCGTGGGGAACTTGGATCTATTGCGTGTTTGTCTGTATTGGAACGTTTTATTCAGACCGAGGCGGATTTAAACGAGGATTCGGTGGACGTCCAGGCGACCGTGAGCGTGGAAGAGGAAGAAGACCAGGTGCAGCGCGTCGCGCTCCTGTGGATGATTTGAGCAGTTGGGTACCCGTGTCCAAACTTGGTCGTCTGGTCAAGGGGGGGTCGATCAGTTCCTTGGAGCAGATCTACGTCCATTCCCTCCCAATCAAGGAGTATCAAATTGTCGACTTCTTTTATGAGGGAAAGGGCGAGGGAAGCGGATTGAAGGACGACGTTATGAAGATTATGCCAGTCCAGAAGCAAACTCGCGCAGGTCAAAGAACGCGTTTCAAAGCGTTCGTCACTGTGGGCGATGGCAACGGTCACATCGGTCTTGGCGTGAAATGCGCTAAAGAAGTGGCGACGGCAATTCGAGGAGCGATCATTAGCGCAAAATTGTCCCTCATTCCAGTCAGGTGAGTCAATGTGATAATCATCTGTGATATCTACATGATGACAACAAGATTCCCCTTCTGATGTCTCGATTGACTGATAAACATCTAGAGTTTCCGCTCTTTGTCTGACCGAATGATTGTGGTTGTGAATCAAGCTGCTCTCTTTATGAAACGCTTCAGTACGAATATTTTATCATGTTTTCTATGTTTACAGACGAGGCTACTGGGGCAATAAGATCGGCGAACCCCACACAGTCCCAATGAAGGTTTCCGGCAAGTGCGGTTCGGTTCGTGTTCGTATCGTTCCGGCTCCTCGCGGTTCTCAAATTGTCGGGGCTCCCACGACCAAGAAGATGATGGCGTTCGCTGGTATCAAGGATGCGTTTTCTTCAACGTGCGGTTGTTCAAAGACAAAGGGCAATTTCATGAAGGCTCTCTTCGATGCGTTGTCCAAGACTTACGGCTATTTGACGCCAGACCTTTGGGCCAAAACCGAGTTCGAACCCTCGCCATACCAGAAGTTCTCGGACCTCTTGAAACAGCCAACAGTCGGCAAGAAAGAGAAGGTTGTTGTTGCTTGATTTCAACAAACAGCACCGTTTTCTCGCACAGTGTTTTTTCCAAAACGACCATTGAACTGAGTCACTCGCTCCATCTGCTACTAAAAGGATCAGGGTTCTTTTCCGAGTAGACCTTTTGCTGGAATTAGCAGCGAAGTCTCTATTTCTTGAAAAGTCCGGGATTGCTCTGTGGGAGTGTTGACAATGGCACCCCCTAGCCAGAACTCCGGCGGTGCTGCTCAAGACCTCCCGGGGCGCGATATTGCATACTTCAGGAACCTAGTGGTACGTGAGGAGGCTGGAAAATAGAGGATATTTTTGCTCATCAGAAATTATATGAAGAAAAGCGATACAAAAAGGCGTTAAAAATCGCAGAAACGTTGTTGAAAAAGCATCCGAATCACGGTGAAATTCTATCAATGAAAGGACTCATTAGTTGGTACATTCCAGAAAAACAAGAGACTGCTCTCGAGTGTGCGAAAAAGGTGAGATATGATTTGCGTTTCGATTGAAAGCCTCCTTCTGCAGGGATTGAGACTCAATGTAATGAGTTCGACTTGTTGGCATGTTCTTGGATTGCTCCATCGTAACAAACGGGATTGTAACGAAGCTATGCAATGTTTCAAACAAGCAGTTCGATTAGATCCTGAAAATCTTGTACTCGCTCGAGATTTAACGAATCTTCAGGTTCATGAAGGCAACGTTGTATGTTCTCGTTTATTTCTTTTTATTATTGATTTCTTTGTTTCTCTCAGAGCGGATTTCTAGAAATGAGAAAAAATCTTTTTTTCAGTCGGGCGGGGGTCAAAGCTCACTGGACGTCCTATGCATTCGCCCAGCACTTAGTAGGAGGAGAATTATCCCAGATTCAAGTTACTCGTTCCATCTTGTCTTCAGTGTGGTAACTATCAACTAGCTCACAGGCTGTTAAGGACAACTATTGATCATTTTCAACGATTTTCTGAGAGTGGAGGACAGACAAGGGAAGAAATCTGGGAAACGGGGGAGGTAAACGTTCTCGATTGTCACGCATCGTGATTCAATTTATGATTTTAGCTTTTGCTCTATGAAACAATGCTCCTTGAAGAGGGAGGCCAATACGAAGAAGCCATCAAATCACTCCAGGAATGCCCCAAGTGAGACTTCTGTTTTGATTGGATTGCTTCAATCGGTGTGTCTTCTTTCTAGCGTTCCTGACAAAGCTGCACGTCTAGAAACGTTAGGCCGTCTGCAGATCTACACAAACAGGCTGGATGACGCTCATCGGACATTCCTTGAGCTATTTCGTTATCAGCGCGCAAACAGAACGTATCTGCTTTGCGCCTTGGCTTCCCATCCTCTCTTTCGCAATCACGTCGTCTTCCCCAAATCTCCTCTAGCGATGAGACAAAATGCGTCAGCTCCTTGCGAGCGAACGTCGGACCTCAACGGCAACTTGGACGACTCCAAGTTCCTTGCGTTCAGTCTCTACGCTTTAGGAGCGCCGGAACTGCACGGAAGCCTTGCAAATGGATGGCTTGCGCAGCCCCGTCATGTCATTTTCCGTGGAACGCCCCGTGACTTCGAAACCAGAACCCCGGACAGTGCGATGTATTATCTGCTTCGGCCCTTATCCGAGGAGGAGCAGAAGAGGCTATCTGAATGGTTTTTATCTGGTGAGACGAGGAAGAGTGTGATTGTTTGTTACAACTTACTTGCTTTGCAGACGTTTTCGTCAAAGATCAGAAAAATGCCAACGATTCAGCTTTGCGACTGTTGCTTGATTTTGTTTCGGATGAAGGGCGTTTCCTCTTCTATTTGGATCGCTTACTAAGACCAAAGCTCTTGAAGGGTGCCCCGTTCTTTATGAATGCGGTTCAAACCCTCTGCAAATCTCCTGCAAAGGTAAGCCATAGGTGGAAGCGGTTCTGCAAAGTTGATAGAAGGATTTTGAAGGCCTCTTTTTCTATCCAGGCCCCCTTCATTCAAAAGCTGTTAGAATCGTACTCCCAAGCTCTTTCGTCTAATTCTTCTTCCCCTCCTCTTGGTTCTCCTCCCCCTGCTCCCTCTGAAGTTTCATCTTCGAATCAATTCTGTCAAAAATGTCTCGGTAAGTAAAATCCAGTGAGACTTGCAGATCAACGGGGTCCATTTGTGCTTGGTGTTCAACGGGCTGTTCAATGGTTAACGCTTCCTTGTTTCAGATGAAGAAACCCAGACGGCTTGTATTGCATCACGCGTTGCACATCAGACAATCTGCTTGTCTGCGCTAAGCTCGTTTTTTGATTTAACTGGACAATATAAGCAGGCGTTAGAAACAGTCGAAAATGTAAGCCGTTCGCTTCCTGATGATCTCTGAACTTCCTTATTCGATTGAAGGCCATTGCGTCCACACCGGCATTTGCTGAGTTGCATCAACTCAAAGCGCGTATTTTGAAACACTCGGGAAATTTTGAAGCTGCAGCTGGGGCAATCTGTGATGCTCGCGAAATGGATTTAGCTGATCGGTTCTTGAATACACTTTCCGTCAAATATTTGCTAGCAATCGATGACACGAAGAAGGTGAGATTCATCAGCAATCGTTGACCATGGAAGGTCTCCATACACTCATGGGCAGAAGTTATTATTTTCTTCTGATGCTTAATTTGCTTTATTGATCAGGCGACTCAGATGGCATTGTATTTTTCTCATGAAGATAATCTTACAGAAATGCAATCTTTATCGTGAGTCTCTCAAGTTGCCTCCGGATGAGTAGAGACCCATTTAGGGTAGACGCGAACTTTGGCACGTAATTTCGTCTGGCGAAGCTTCTTTGTTTCGAAGAATCCCAGTCTGGCTGCATGCGGTGTGCATGCTTCTCAATTCGTGTAGATGATGCACTTAATACGTTCCTGTGTTTCAGATATGAACTGCGTTGCGGAGAATCATGGAGACGTCAAGGGAAATTGGGACTTTCGTTAAATCAGTTCTACACAGTTGTGTCCCAATTCGGCGATATGCATCACGACCTGTTCGACTTCCACTGGTATTGCCAGAGACGTGGTGGATTTCGCAGTTACTTGAGAACTTTAAGAATGAGAAACAAAGTCTACGCGCACCGGTAATTGTCATCTAGCGCAGTTTGTATTCCTTATCATCTGGCTTCTATTACTCCATCCGTGGTTTCAGATATTATCGGAGGGCAGTCCATAACATCATTTCGATTCTTCTGAAGCAGTATGATCATCCAGAAGATGATGCTTCAGTAAGTCTTATTGGTATGCAGCCTTCTCATCAATCAAATTTCAGACAACCGTCAAGCGGCCTAATAATCCAGAAATCCAGCATTCTGATAGTCACTCTACAGCGACACCGGAGGCCACCAGCAAGTCAAGTAAAAAGAAAAAGAAGAAAGTGAGCAGGTCGCGTGGAACTCCGCAACAGATTCGTGTGTCCTCCAGGCCGATCCGAGTGGCGCTTCACCAGCACCACCAGGAAGTTTGCCTACAGCAACTCCTTCCAAAAATGTCGATATCGATCAAGGAGGCATGAAATGGCTTCTGAGTGGAGATGCGGCGCTTGAAGAAGCGGCACGGCTGGTGGATCATCTTCGGCAAGCTGCTCAACTATGGCCACAAACGCACCAAAGCGCGTATGAAATTTTTATGAGACAAGGTGACACCATTCTATTTCATCTTTGAAACAAATTTTCGCTCTCAGGGAAACTGTTGTTGATGGCACAGTCTCTGTATCGGTTGTGGTCGATCGGAAGCTTTGATGTTCTCGAGCCGCATCTCTCTCCGCTTCTTTGTCGGTTCATGGGCGACGGTAAGCTTGAAAATCATTGGGATGATGAATAATCATTCGTTTGTTGCGTTCCCATAGTGATGCCTCGCTTCAAGTCAAGCACTCCTGTGTACGAAGTGTGTCAAGATCTGCTCGTTGAAATGTTCCAAGGTCCTAGAGTTCCCGCCTCCCTTCACCAAAACGTCATAGAAGGAGATTGGACGTCAGCCCAGTGTTCGTTCATCTCTTATGTTCTCAAGTCATCAGAATCAGGCGGTCTGGATCGCCTGGTTGCAGGTAATCGTTGTAGCAAATTTTCTGCATCTGTGCATCCTGCCTTTGCGGGTGTTTCCTTGTTGCTTTCTCTGTCACTTTGTGGGCCTTTTCTTCTGATAGCCATGAACTGCGCTAAGGTGACAGACCTCGACCTATCGACGAGTCGCGAGCCGCTGCAGCGCTTCATCAAGGAAGTCAGGTTTTCAAGCCACCGCACAAAGCACTTTCTTCCACTACTTGACGCCGCGAGGGGAACAGCTTTTGAATCCGAAATTGAGGTCAGCTGATACCAAGTTGGATTGTTGATCGTTCTGTTGTTCTTCTCAGAACCTCTGTTCATTGCGCTCCTAGCGATTCTCTTGATCTGATGTCTTTGTGCCGTGAACGAGAAGTTTTGATTCCTCAACCAGTTCATACCGACACGTGAAATTTAGAACTCCGTCAAGCTGATAAGTCAAAAACTTAATGGAATGTCGCCGGAAAACGCCACCAGGGAATCACACTCATAGAACTATCACGACGAACGATGAAATGAACTTCCTTTCTACCTTCCGAGAATTAAATATGTTGAGAATTGCGCGTAAAACGCTCGCCCTTCGTAATCCATAGAAATCTGATGACTCCTATGTGTTGGTGTTCTCTCTTACTGAAATTCTGGTAACGCACAAGATTGTTGTTGTCTTTTGCAACTAGAGTACAACATTGTTGTTACAGCTAGGGGACAGCAGAGTCAAAAAGCAGTCTGCTTCGGCAAAAAAATAACAATTAGAATTGATAGATCAATGGAATTCCGATCTGGTTCCCAGATAAAGATAATCACCTCCACGACCTTTATTGATGTCATTGCTCAATTTCCATCCATCATGGTATTGTCCCAGCTCAACCTCGGAACGGATGATACAGACGTGAGTGACTGGAGTTCCTCCGTAGCTTTGTTTGGAGATGTAACGATAATCACCTCCAGCACCTTTCGCTAAATCACATCTGCTTGAATCCTCAGAATCCTGAATTGTGATCTCCAAGCCAGTCACGGCCGCGTGAGGATTGGTTGTGAAACGCGGGATCAGCCAAACATATTCACCTCCAAATGACTTGTTGATGTCCACGTTGCAGTTTTCATATCCGAAGATTGCATTGTGTGGTTTTTCTTCACCACCGTAGACGACATCAATGTCCTCGACGAAATGCGTTGGGCGATTCTGTTGTTGATACTGTGGTTGATACTGTTGTTGAAGGATCTCTTGGTGAAACATCTTGAAATGAGCAGAAGAAAGTGAAACGGTGACTTGTCTGACTTTCGAATTTGTGTGGATCTGTTGTGCGTCGACGTTGTGCCTGAACACGCGAAATGAGATGCTGACTGATTGCCTACTCTGCTGCTGAAGAACACGGTTCTACTGAAGTATTACGCTGAGACAAAAAAATTGCTTCAAACGGGAAGTTTGGTGGTTGATATGAGCGAGGAGTTCAGACACACAAAAAAATAACAATATTGATAGATCAGCGAAGCTCCGATCTGGTTCCCAGATAAAGATAATCGCCTCCGCGCCCTTTATTGATATCGCAACTCATTTTCCATCCATGGTGGTAATCTCCTAGCTCGTTATCAGACCGTATGATGCAAACGTGAGTGATTGGCCTGCCTCCGTGGTATTGCTTGGAGATATAACGATAATCACCTCCAGCCCCTTTCGCTAAATCACATCTGCTTGGGTCCTCAGAACCCTGAATTGTGATGTTGAAGTCGGTCACGGCTTGTCTAGGATCTGTTGTAAAACGCGGGATCAGCCAAACATATTCACCTCCAAATGACTTGTTGATGTCCACGTTGCAGTTTTCATATCCGAAGATTGCATTGTGTGGTTTTTCTTCACCACCGTAGACGACATCAATGTCCTCGACAAAATGCGTTGGGGGTTGATGGCCATGATGGCCATGATGTCCGTATTGCTGCTGATGGTATTGGTAGTGATCGTACATATTGAAGGAAGCTGACCAGAAGAAAGTGAAGTGAATTTCGAGTCTGTGGGTGATCTGTTGTGCGTCGTTGTGCACACACTATGATTCAGGGTATTGGTTCGAAAAAGCACCCAGACCAAGAAAAATATACATCAGGGAAATTCCATCGTCTTGAGATGCAACGATCATGGGACACTTTTCTATTTTTGTGCTGAACATCAATACTCCCCACTTTCGTACCACATTCGCACGTCACATGGTAGCAGCGCCATAAAAAAGACAGCGAAGCAGCAACGTTTTACGGAACGAAAGTCAAAACGACTCCAAGGACCGCCGCCAGACTCCTCACCAGTCCCCTCATCAGCGTGTAAACACCTGGTTTTCTGAGGATACAGCTGAACGGGCGAAAGGAATGTTGAAACTAGTCGTTAGCGACAATATTTCTGTCTACTTAGATGAATGTTCAACAGCATGTGAATGCTATAGGATATTACAAATTTGAAAATGTTGCCAGCTCGACAAATCTCTCCCAATTTGTCACTTTCGCACTTTACACACTGGCTACCAAAATTTATCTCAGCACTTTGGGGTTCTCTGGTTAATTGTAGTTAGCGATTGGGAGGATATCTCGCGATAGAGGAGCAGCGGACAAGTTTGGGCTACTAGTTATGTTGAGAAATAGGTGCAAAGTTCAACGGGTCGTTTTGAACCACAAAAAAGTTTGTGAAAAAAAAAAACGGGTTGCAACGTGTCACCAAAGTATCAGAATCTGCTCCGACCTTCTTCATCCCAAGATCTTTGAGTTTTTCATCTATTACACTAATCACTGACTTGATCCACGCATCCCATGATAAGTTATAAGTTAAGTTATTCCTGTGATTGACAGAAATCGTCCTAAGTTCCTGTAATTAAGATAAATTTGATGATAAATGAGGCCATAATTATACTTTCCGAAAACTTGATAAATTTGGCTGGCGATACGGCGCGCAAGTCAAGGGATGTTACCCTAGAAGTTGCCCTGGAATCTAGAACAGGGTAAAGTTTCGCTGAATACGAGAACAAGTCGACCAAAGCAGGCTACATCTTCACAACAAACGTAACAAGAGAGATCAACTCCCAAAGCAGATCAAGATGAAATCAAGGTATCGACAACATCGAATAGAAGATAATCACGGACGAAGGAAATCCTCAAGAATCTATTGTTGCATACAACCGGGACACTACCCGTCGTGATCGGAATAACACCGAATCGCTAAATCTCGGGATAAGAGATTTATTTCACCAGATGGGTAAAAAGGTTAAAGAACGAGTGGAAAATATGGAAATACAACTGGGTAATATTGGCCAACAAATCGAAATGTTACGGAATATTCAAATGAACGCGATAATGAAGGGGGAAAAGATGATGAAACTCCAAGGAACAGATAGTTCTTTGAGAGTTGATAGCTCTAACAATAATGGTTCCATGACCCTTTGTCTAATATCGTCTGTAGGCGGGCACATATGGATGAACTGGAAATCTGTTTCCAAATAAATGAAAACCGGGATATTTTATATAGTTTTAGCATTTGCAACTATATTCGGGATAACTTTACCATCCCGACAGATAATCTGTCATTTACATTTTCAATGTAGCGCATAGTATTGGGGCTATTCCCAAAATATTATCCTAGTTATCCGATCCCTCGGGTTTAGCTATTATAATCTTAGCCGGTGCTTTGGAGCTGGTGAGTCTTTAACTCAAGGTTTAGGAGCCCCCAATTACCAAATTTAAACACACTCTCCTCGACTCCTTAATCGATTTCAATTGGCAAGTGATGATTTGAATGAGAATTCTGCTTTTCTTTCAACTAATGATTTTTCCAGATTCAACTTTGTTGTCGACTCGGGAAATAATCATTCTGTAGTAAATGACAGTGCCTTGCTCAGTGATCCTGTAAGCACTGACTCTTCGCTGATAGTTGGATCAGGCTGCTCTCTTCCAGTGACTTCTCGCGGGAATGTCACTGCTGCCCAAGGAAATAATTCCTTCTCATTTTAAGATGTTCTTTATTGCAAAGAACTGACTGAAAATCTGCTCTCAATCTCGCAACTCACGGCTAATGAGTTGTTTTCCAAAACAATGAATGCGTGATTTATCCTAAGGGTAGCAAGTATGTCACATTGACTGCTCTTGATGATCCTCAGGGCTTATATCGTTTGCAGTTTAAAAGCCCTGAGCTGCCGTGCACCATTGCACACCACACACTTCACAAAGTGTCTCCCGCAACAATCCCCAACAGTAACTAACGCCGGCTTCATCCATAATCGACTTGGCCACCTGAACAACAACGATCTCAAAGTTCTTCAGCTGCCCACTTTGGCAAGTTCTTGTTCCACTTGCATTTTGTCAAAGATGAAAGCTCTTCCAAATTTCAGAAAACACACTACCACTGCAATTCAACCGAACGACGTAGTCTGTGTGTTGCCCTGTGGGTCCGACAATCACAGCAGGAATTGAAAATGAAAAGTACGTTCTGGTAGTTGTGGATGAATGGACAAGGTTTTGCACAGCCGTCCCTCTTGCGCACAAGTTAGAAGCTGCAGCCTCAGTCATGGAGGTTATCAATCGGATGCTACTGCCTCTCAAATCAGATCGTGGAACCGAATTTGCCAACGAAAAGCTCGTGACCTTCCGGAACGCTGAAGGGATTCTTCCAGCATTGACTGCCGCAAATGATTCCCCGAGCAATGGTAGGGCAGAAAGAGGTATAGGTG